CCCGACATTTTAAAAAATTCAACCTCCAAAACGGGGGGGAATCTAAGGTGGCGACATTACACAAAATTAAAACGTTGTAAGGGTGAATTGGGTGTTAAAAGGTTTTATGGAGAAACAATATTTATTTCTGCGAGCGAAGCCGAGGGGAAAAGCTAGTTTGTAATAAATGTTTAGTTGTTTTCAAAGGCTCTCTCTCCCTCTCTCTCTTTAAAAAGCAGACAAATTTGGCGAATTGCAAAAACGAATTAATATTAAAATAAATATGACTATTACGAACGACTTACATTAAATAAATAACTTAAATGAATGTAAATGATTATAAAATGTCTATCATATATGTACATATAATATTTTATCGGAGGTTTTTCCTATCTATTTGTTGAAAACAGCAAAAAATACGTGAAATGACCTGAAGGTGATCGACTTAACTTTTTGAAAACGAACATTTTATAAAACTTATTCGACTTTATTAAGCAGTTTAAAAGATATTAGCGAATAAAAACAGGAAAGGCTTTCCTGCATTGTAGCAAAGATCGGTGCAGCTAGTATAGCTGATGATACAATATTATGGAACCAGGTGACAATTTAAGATTTAAATAAAGGATATAAGAGCTCCCTGTGCCTACTTTCACTGTCCACGATGTTATTGTTTAATTACAATTATTAATAAAAATGTTAATGTAATTAAACAACTACAAAGAACGGTCGTGTTTAAATATTTATATTTGGTATTCATTCTGATAGCTGTATTCCAAATTATGAGTACTTGAGCTAGGTTTTTGGTTAGGTTATGGTGTGAAGATCGTCATATTTTCAAATCGCTTAATGTATAAAAATGTTCTAATGTATTTCGGTGGTTTTATATGATGAGGTATTATAAATAGGCCAGATAGATTGGTAGGATACCTTCCCAGGGGTGAGGGTTAAAAGGGGTGTAAGTAAACCTAGATTACATTACTGTTTACAAATAGCTAGCGATGTGGGATGCTATAGTTTTAGGGAAATGGAAAGTTTAGCTCAGGATAAGAAAAAGAGGACGTGCGTGTCCAATCAGTCTTAGGACTCACAACCCTGTGATGATCAAGATGATGATCAACATCATTAGGTCGTCGGTCCTAAAATTGGTTGGACACGCACCTCCACTCCTTCCTATCCTGAGCTAATCTTTAACTAGAGCATAGAAGTGACTTATTTTTATTGAAGGCGACTCGACTTATTTGACTTCCTAGATCAGGGATGGCGAACCTTCTTTGATGTCCGTGCCACAAAGTCATAAAAATTCTTTTTTAAATAGGTAACGTGCCACAATAAAANTATTGTGTAACAGAAAGAGATGCAGACAAGCATAATGTAAGCATGTTGCCAGCATCGGACTTTAAAGAAAGTTCAAGTTCAACTTAGTCGCGTGTTTAAAACGCAGCAAATGACTACATTCTCAAGTGGAAACATGAAAGAAAATACGTCCATTCTCACATTTATTTATTGTGGACTTGCCAATTTTGATTGCCCTAACTATAGGGCACTTTCTTAGACATGAAGGACTAGTTAGACATATATTATAAGCAAAAGAGGAATTAAGAGAACTAGAGGTGGACTGTTTACAAATGGTTTTAGATAAATGCAAACATTAGCTCAGAATAGGAAATAGTACTGTTCGTTTCAGGAAGTTAGAGATATGTCCCTTCCCTTTATTAGGATGCGCCGTAGCATAATTCCAAATTCAATCATATTTGTCTGCGGAGCTCATTTCTCCACCGATCATCGAGCGACAACCAGACAAAAGTGTACACTACGATTTGCAAAATTATTTAAACTGCCTCGTGAAAATTTAAGAATATGCTTTATTTAAAAGCATATTTAGCCAAAAATAATAACAAGTTAATTAAGTTAACGCTCTACACACCTGTAAAACTTTTGCTTTGTTTTCTATTGTTAATTTATATACATTTTTGTTTTAAGAAATTGCTAAACATTTTCGTCTAGTACTGTACAGTTC